AAAAATTCTCTTTTCAACTCTGTATACCTAGCTAAGTCCTAATACATTCTTCTAATGTTCTCTAAGCAGAGGTTCTCAACGTTGTCTAGACATCAGAATCATGGGCAGGACATCCTGCCATCAATCCAGTTTGAATCTCTGTGGGGTGGAACCAAGGAATTAGCATTTTTAAAAGCTCCTCCTCTGGCACCTGAGTGGCTCAGTTGGTTAAGCGTCTGACTCTTGATTTTGGCTCAAGTCATGCTCTCAGGGTCCTGGGATCGAGACCCAAGTTCGGCTCCACACTCAGTGGGGAGTCTGTTAGAGAGTCTCTCTCTCTCCCTCTCCTGCTGCCCCTCCCCCCTCAAATAAATAAATAAATCTTAAAAAAAAAAAAAAAAAGCTCCTCCAATATATAAGGAAGATGGGAAAACACTGTTCTAGGTGAGTTTCCTGGCCTCTTTGGAAGGCTTAAGCTTAATCATCTGTTTTCACTAGGCCCGGTCTAGCCCTCTAACACTCATTAGATTTGCCTTAGCATATGTATTTCACCTCTGGAATATAAGCATTCCAAAGGCAGATGTCATATTCCACTACAGAGGTTTTGGTATATATCCAGTATGCACATTCTCATTCTCTCTCTCTCTCTCTCACACATATATACAGCTGAAATCAAAGTTTCACAAAAAAACCCTGACCCAGAGTGATGGAGTCTGTCATTTCTTATTCTATTCTGCTAATTTCATTCCTTGCTACTTAAAAATTGTGATGCTAAGTAAAATAAATCAGAAAGACAAAGACAAATACTATGTGATCTCTTTTATATGTGGAATCTAAAAAACAAAACAAAACAAAACAAAATTAGCTCACAGATGCAGAGAACAGATTGGTGGGTGCAAGAGGCGGAGCGGGGGAGAAATGGATGAACTGGGGGTTTTTTGGTTTAAAATATTAAATAAAAGTAAAAAAATAAAAATTGTGGACTAATACTCATTAAATTGATTATACAACCTAATAGTTTGTCTGAACTGTGTTTGAAAAGCATCTCTGTAATCATGTTTGTGCCAGTCCTAATGCCACGCTAGGCACTTAACAGGTGTTTACAACAGATTTCATGGATTAATCAAAGTTTTTAAGGAAATAATATATATAAAAATTTTACATATCCAAAACAGTAGGCAGTCATCACCAGGCAAAAGAAAAATATCAAGATTAACTTTCATATTCTTGAGACACCAAAGTAGAAAGATTAAAAAAATGTATAAAACTCAGTTCAAATTATAGCAACAGAAAGGAATACACAGAGGGTTTCCTTTTCTTAGAATTAGGGATCCTCAGATTACCTCTCTATTCTTAGATGTCCCAAGAAAGACGACAATCCAATTTATTCAGAATACTAATTGTGTTACTAAGATTGCATTCTTCCTTCTTCCTTTGGAATTAACCAGTGGGCCAAGATTTTTTTGTGAGAAACACTGAGGAAGCTACTTCCCCAATTCCCATAATGTATTAGAAATCTAAGCTTTCTTAATCAGTTTACAGGTGCACGCTGATGTACAATTCAAAGTTTCTCAAACTAGTCTCTCTGGAAATGTTTTCTTTAATAGAAGAGAATTTTTATGATGGGGTGGGGGAGGAGCTATGGGTAAAACACATGAGCTTAGATAAGAAACTGAGTTTAGAGCTCTGGCCTGGGACAAGACCCAGATCACAGAGGAAGGAATGTCAAATAGTGATTGCTCTGTAGTTTCTCTAGCTGAGAAAAAGATCCTAATTACACCTTTATGACCATCTCTCCCCACCACATACCTCCCCCCCACACACACCTTCTTTACAAGCTGGTATTACAATGATCTCTTAGGGGTGCTTAGAGAATCAGTTAAGATTGGTAGAATTCTTATGGAATATTAGCAAAGATACAGAGTCTTCCCATTTTCAGTTAGTTACCCATGGTTTTATGTTAGAACTTGGAATTGAGGAGATCTTTATTAATTCTCTGGGGCCCAAAGCAGAAATGTTTTGGATACAGGAAGTATCTGATTCAACTATGAATATTCCTGAATATCTTCATTTTAAAGGTAAATCTGCAATGTAAACATTCTCAGACTGTCACCTCTCAGGGCTCTATATGATATTCTATAAAAATATATTGGCTTTAAAATTCCAGTAAGACTGTCAGAAATAACACTATTTATATGAAAAATCTCCTCATCCCGAAGTATAAGGACATCTATAATGTCCTTGCTTTTAGTAAGAGAACTAAATAAGCATGTTTTTCTAGTATGAGGAAGGAATTTTAATGGCTTTCAGAGTGAAATTACTCAGATTAATTCCATTCAGGAAGCATATGCTTCATAAAACATGTATTCTTATAGAACCCACGAATTGTGATTATTGCTGAGAGAATTAAATATCCTCTGAAGTGGATTGTAAATAACGGTGATACTCATTCTAGCAAGAGCTGGGGGGTCTCCATATATAGAAAAATTGATTGACAGTCATGGAGCAAAAACATATTTGTGAAGTTTTTCACCCCCCTCCATATCCATTCAGCAGCATTTGTACGAAGGAAAACATCAACGCTTTTGGGGGGACAGATGTATTGGAATCTGTTGGGAGAGCTGATGCTCTGGCTGGGCATTTGGAGTTTCCTTTTTTAATATGTAAGAATTATTTTCGCTCTACAGCATGAATCAAACAATGAACGTAATGCTACCAGCTTCTTCAAAGTGAAAAGGCCTATCATTACACTTTTTTCCTTCACACATATTATAGAAAATTCCTTTTGTTCAAAATTAAAAAAAAATATCTTCAGAGGGGAAAAAAAGCAGAGACTTCCATTTAGCTGAAATACTGAAATTGCATGTAATCTCCTAAGATATGTGGTTATATTTACTTTCAAGTTTGGCATTTCCATTTGTTGCTTTTAAGCCCCAGTACCTTAATTCAATTCTATCACTTGAAATGTGCCATTAACAACAATAATCAATAGTTTCAGTAGTTTTGACTTTTTTCCATGACATCTCCAAATCTTTCATCAAAAGACTGTTATCCGGTCATCTAACTGAAAATCAGAGCTGGCTATAAATGTCATTTCTATCCAAAAAATGTAGTTTCAACCTCAGGCAACTGGAATTTATAGAAAACCCAATATTAACACGGAGGGAATGAGAAAACTGTCTGTGTTTTAAAATAGTGTTGGGATCTCAGCTAGTCCTATTGTAGTTAAGGGGCAAAATGATATGTCTAAGGTTTTCAGGAACTCTAGAGGAGTTTTACATGGCTTTTAAGAATAAATACTTTTTATGCATAGTATAGCATAAGCGAAGTAAATGTCCTCTGCATAACTTTCAACTGTTTTTGAAAGGGAGATTAGAGATCTAAACACAAAATGTAGTTTATTCTCCATTCTCCCATAGGAAATATAGTTTAAAAACATGGCAATTTTTTTCTTTAATGATTCAGAATCTTGCAGTTTCTCAGAATTTTCGTTGTATAGTAATGCAGATAACAACATAGAGGAGATACATGGATGTATCTTAGCCCTCAGTCAGACTTGTTCACTAATTAGAGGGATGTTTAATTAAATCCTTATTATAAAATTATCTCTTGGATTATTCTTTCTTTTCAAAGTAATCTGCTAAAAAATCAACTTAAAGTTTTATTATTTATCTACCACAGCTGATGAGAATCTGTGAGCCCATATATTTATTAAAATTCTAGGTGACTTCATGGGTATTTAAAAGGAGAAATACAATTTTATTTATGAAATATCATAAGTTAAATAAGTTACAGCAGAACATTTTCTACCCATTCATCTAAGAGGGACCAAAAAAGTCTAGCTTTGCATAGTTTTTACAATCTCGAGCCATGGGACATATCTACACAGATAAAGGCAGGTATTGCCCTAAACGAGCTAGTTCCAGTGATCAAAGTAACTCAACACACATTGTAGAGGAATGAGTGGGGTCTGACGAGAATGGAAGACACGAATGAGGAATCCTAGAAGCTATGAGTTGCCACTATTATCAACTCTATGCACAAGAGCAGGCAAGTAGATCAAGTATCCTATCAAAACAGAAAAAAAGGAGGAGAAGGGAAACAAGGAGAGGAGGAGGAGAAGAAACATTGCTTATTATGGTCTGATTGTGGAAGTATTTTCCAACCTAGGATATACCACCACTTTTTTTCATCATAATTTAAATATATGGAGAAAAGTAGTCCAAAAACTTGATCATATTATTTCGACACTCTAAAGTTTATTCGAGATACTAGTAAAGATCTGGTATCAAGTCAGAAAACTCAACTATACGTAACAAAACTCCATAACAGTTCAGAAAATTATAGCAGGCACTGAGAATAAACTTAAGGGGCCTCCTTGAACCAAGACGTCATTTAAACAAAACTACCCTAAACTTCTATTTTCACTGTTTATGCATATGAAACTTTATAGCAATAATTTTTGTTTCTAGGAAGAAACAATTGTCTCAAAATTATATGATCACTAACTATGACAAATTTAGCCCTCTCATTTTTCTTTTTACAGATCGTGTTGGGAAGAAAGCTACAAAATGCCAGATTAACATTTCAAAATGTATTTGAAAGTAATGAAGGGCAACTGATTCAGTTAGCAACGCTAAATAAAACTGACAATTCATACAGATGCTTCCCCTGTAAAATATTAAATAAACACTGCAAAATGGCAACTTTTTCCAGTTAATAAACCAATCCCTAATTTATTTCTCGGAGCAAAGTTTCTTCTTGGCCAAAGCCCTGGTTTTACGGGCAAGTTTTCCCTGGTCAAAAACGCGTACCATTTTGAAGACTGGGGCGTTAAATGAAATACTAAATGCCTTTTCCTTCTCCCTCTGCCTCTTCCCCCTCTTGCCCACCCACTGCACTGTATCAGGCCACATAAAACAAGCACTTTCCTTTGGCCCCAGCACATCAGTGACGAGGACGGAGGCTGTGAATTGTTCACAAGGATTCACAAGAGGTCAAAGTAGAAAAGCTTTACTTACTTGCCATTGTTTCATCAGCTCTCTTACTCCCTTGGAATCTTCTAGGAGCCTTTCCTTATGGGTGGCATCCTGCAGGACGTTGGCAGTTGTCTCGGCTTCTGTAAGCCAGGCAAGGAACTTCTCCAGGTCCAGGGGGAACTGTTGCAGTAATCGGTGTGTTTCTTCCAGAGCAGCCTCTCGCTCACTCACTCTGCAAAGGAACAAATGTCCAGATGCGGTTCTCCTCAGTTATCACAATGGTGCACCTAGCATCCCCCATGAAAAGAGCAAAGATCAAGGGACAAAATCGTAATGTACCAACAAAGGGGTGGGTGGTTGCTAAAAGTCCTCTTAAAAGCAACAACAACTAGAATAGTGTGTGTGTGTGTGTGTGTGTGTGTATAGACTTTGGACAGGTCATATATGAACTTCCAAAAACAATCTTTTTTTTTTTTTTAAGATTTTATTTATTTATTTATTTGAGAGAGAGGATGAGAGGAGAGAGAGAGCACATGAGAGGGGGGAGGGTCAGAGGGAGAAGCAGAATCCCCGCCGAGCAGGGAGCCCGATGCGGGACTCGATCCAGGGACTCCAGGATCATGACCTGAGCCGAAGGCAGTCGCTTAACCAACTGAGCCACCCAGGCGCCCCAACAATCTTTTTTTTTTTAACTTGATAGTTTTTTACTGGTCGATTGTGAAAGCTTATTTTCATATGTGGCAAAAGCATAAGCTCCTCTTTATAGGTAAAGCTCCCAAATCCCTACGCCATGTTTATCTTTGATGTCACCTGAGGCAGAAAGTCAGGATTAGGTAGGCAAGGAAAAAGGTCAAGAAAATGCAAAGCTAGACCAGAAAGTTGAACACTGGAGGAAATAAGAGAAGAGGACTGGAGGGTAGAGGAGAACAGAAAGACTTACAAGGAGAAAAATGACATATTTCACAGAAACCGTTGTGCAAGATATCATTTTGCATGACACTATTGTGTTCTAATGGTTCTAACTATGGTGTTTGCTTTACATTTCATTATCTGATGGTCACGCAACTGAGAATATTCCCCCCCCCCAAAAAAAACTTCTGTGTAATGGAAAAAGTAAAGCCTAAAAAAACAGACAGATCTGGGTTCAAATCCCAATACCTTCTACCAACTGTGTGGTACGGCAAGTTACTTAACCTCTCTGAGTTCGAAGTTTCTCATCTGCAATGCCTACTGCTGGGCTGAGAATGAGAAGATGATAATGTGTGTCAAGATTACTGCTTCCCATGTACAGTTAGTTACACATTAGGGTTACTCAAACACATTCGTTCGCTCGGCCCACATCCCATTCCTCTTTCTCTAATCTTTTTTTTCTAAAAAAAGATTTTATTTATTTATTTGAGAGAGTGAGAGAGAGTGCCTGAGTGTGCGGGGGGAGGGGCAGAGGGAGAAGCAGATTCCCTGCGAGGAGGGAGCCCAATGCTGGGCTCGAACCCAGGACATCGAGACCATGACCTGAGCAGAAGGCACGTGCTTAACCAACTGAGCCACCCAGGCACCCCCACCCTTCCTCTAATCTTTTAGAAGGGGGTGAACCAAATTTCCTAATGGCACATAAATCTAAAAAAATTATTCATATTTTTTCTGATTTTATATATATATATATATATAATATACACACATATATATAATGCATGTATAGTGGATACACACACATATGCCCTCAGCAAAAATCTACATAAATAACAGCTTAGAGGGAAAATTGCCTTTGGCAGTAACAGTCCCATCTAAAAAGATTCAGGTAAATTTTGTCTGCAATGAGGAAATTAGTACTCTATTTAAATGCCATATTTGCCTTCTATTACTACACAAACACTTTCTGGGATTAAACATAAGCTAAAAATGGATTTTAAAAAATTGAACACTTGAATATGATACACACTGCTTGTTAGGATGTGATTGTCAATAATTATGCGAAACTGCAATTTATTTCAGCAGCAACTTTATCATGGGATGTGCAAACCAGGCAATAAACAGCTCCTGCCGAGCCAGCGGCAGCAAAGCCCCCGGAAGAGCTGTTTATTCATCACGGGTGAGGTTTTTGCTGAGCCTACAGTCTTCCACAGTGTAGTTTCAGTGCTCATACTGGATAAAAATCTTCTGTCTGCATTAACTGGTGGAGGGGAGAATAGGTTTAGGAGGATGCAGCTATTGGAAAAAAGGAAGCATTGCACAAAGCTATTTATCAGCCCCTAAATAAACTTTAATGCTGCAGAGCTGAAAGGTACCTTGGTGCCCGGGTTGGGCAAATCAGTTAAACCTTGCATAGTTCAGGGGCTGACCTGGACTGCTTGCTCCCTGCGTATCTGGTGTTCAAACTATCAATGGAGGGAGAAAGATCGAAATCGTTATTTATTTATCTTTTTATTCAGTATGATTTAAAAGCTCAGAACCACTGCAACAGCGCTGAGAATCTTAATGTCATAATCTGGCAGGAAATGAGCAGGTGGAAGCATGTGTAACTTGCTCACATCCAGCCGGTTCTGACCTGCAAGAGCGGCAATTTCATCCAGTTCAAGCTACTATTTCTAGGTTGGCTTGCACATCAGAAATCACTAAGACTTACGCCACCTCCAGCCTAAAATTTGCGATAGAAATAAGCTGTCACGTTCCAGAAGCCAAGTGCAGGGTCAGACGATGACATATTTTCTCACATGCTCCAACTTTATGGGGAATAAAAGGACAAAAATGAAACTCTCAGGGCAGAGTGAAGCTCAGAGAGTTAGACAGTGTGCATTTTATTATCAGGGTCATCCTCATTATGAGCTGCACAGGATGCTCCCCTATTCTTGAACTGAAAATGCCGCTTACCCTCTGCTTCCAGAGAAAGTAACTAGTAAATAACTTTCCAAGAGTTCTCTGTAAAATACGATGCACATAAATTAGATGAAAGGGTTCTACTGAGACAATGAGATTTCTAGCCAAATCCTACCAGTGAGTTTGCTGCTTTGTAAATTAGGCCCTTAGGGAAGAACAGTAACTCTTGCAGGACAGTAAGGCACCGTTTTCCTCAACAATACCCTCATGCTCGGAAATACTGACAACATCAGGCTGAATCGTTGCTAATTTGGAAAATATGTTAACAAAATTCAATGGCTGCGAGAGCAGAAAATCTCTTCAAATGAGTTCTTTTACAGGCCTCTTTGATCAGAGGTGAGACTGTTGTTTCCTGCTCATGTGGGAATTTTAAGGCTACATCCTTTCTCCTGAGATCAATCTACGTACACCGAATTCCTAAATTTTAATTGCACCAAGTCTAGACCAGAAATGAGTCAAGGGTACTTGTATGTCATATTTGTGTATTCAAAATAGCTCTGGATGTATCTTGTCCTTTTTAATTTTCCATAACCATATGGCTTTAAGTGGCTTATATGATAAATAAAAAATGCAGAAGTAATGAGAATCATAAAGAAATTTAAAAAATTGTTTTAGATTACAAAAGTGAAGATTTTGAACATGGATTATTCTGTAAATTCCCCTGTCCAGGTTATCCAGTTATAGAACCTGGAGAAAATTTGGCTGAACTTTAAAACTAACAATGCCCAGGTATCAGAAATAGTAATAATACTTTACAAATATAATCTATGATAGAGGTTAAGTGCTTTTTTATGTAACAAATTTTAATTATCAACTATTCTAGGTTTATAATCTACAACAATAGCTAAGAATCTGGTGGAGCATGGACTGCTATGGTGACTTTAAAAGGTTTTCTTTCTGTTCATAAGGGCACAATATACCATTCTCAAGTGCCTAAATATGAGCGGTATGGTACAGTGGTTCTCAAAGTATGACCCACAGACCAGGGGCATCAGCATTATCTGAGAACTTATTAGAAATGTAAATTCTCAAGCTCTACCCTAGACCTACTGATCAGAAGGTCTGTGCTTGGAGCCCAGCGAGCTGCGTTTTCATAAGCCTTCTAGGTGATTCCGATATATGCTAAAGTTTTGTGAATTACAGCTGCTGGAGACCCATCCATTTTGCCCTAGCTTCTGAGAAAGCTGCTGGAGGCAGGATGCATCCAGTAACTAGTTAATGTGTGGGCTATAAAAGCCTGGCCCCCTTGCTCCAACTCAGGACAATTTGGGAGGATGGGGAGAGGGATGGGGAGTTGATTGATGTTGTGGTGGCAACTGCATTGAAGCCCGGGTTCTCCTTCTTCCCTATCCCGCTCCCTTCCCTTTCCTTCCCTCACAGGTGTTAATCCTGACAGCACTCGCCAATAAAATTCCTGCAAGTTAATTGCCTTCTCAGAATCTGCCTTCTGGGGAAACTGACATGCTGAGGTGTCATACTAAATAAGGATTTAAAAAATATACATGCTTACGAAGTGTATGTGAGAAATATACAGCTACTTGCACGGACTGTGGTCTCAAAAGGGGACAGGATGGAGTATTCTCACGCTCAGGAAATGAGCCTGAAGAGCTATTGCACTTTTGGTCGCCCTTTAAGAGGATCTATAGAGGGGAGCCAGGGTGGCTCAGTTGGTTAAGCGTCTGCCTTCGGCTCAGGTCATGATCCCAGGGTCCTCGCATCAAATCCCGCGTTGTCCTGTTCCCTGCTCAGTGGGAAGTCTGCTTCTCCCTCTCCCTCTGCTGCTCCCCCTGCTGCTCCCCCTGCTTGTGCTCTCTTGCTCATGCTCTCTCTCTCTCAAATAAATAAATAAAATCTTTAAAAAATGTAAGAGGTGGAATATTACTCAGCCATCAGAAAGGATGAATACCCACCATTTGCATCGACTTGGATGGAACTGGAGGGGATTACGCTGAGTGAAATAAGTCAAGTAGAGGAAGACAATTATCATATGGTTTCACTCATATGTGGAATATAAGGAATAGCATGGAGGACATTAGGAGAAGGAAGGGAAAAATGAAGGGGGGGAATCAGAGGAGGAGATGAACCATGAGAGACTCCCGGAAAAAATCTGAGGGTTTCAGAGGGGAGGGGGGTGGGGAGATGGGGTAGCCCAGTGATGGGTATTAAGGAGGGCACATGTTGTAATGAGCACTTGGTGTTATATGCAACTAATGAATCATAAAAAGAAAAAAAAAAGAAGAAAGAAAGAGAGAAAGAAAAAGGAAAAAAGAAAGAGGATCTATAGGTAGTGTAGAGTTGCATTATCACCAGTTAGAAGCAAGAATCTACTGAAGGGGCAAAGGGCTGTAACTGTACAGC